ACCTGGCCATGCCGGGCCGAGTCATTCTTGTAAACTTACATGAAAAATGTCTGCTTTTTTGACACCATAGACCCTGGCAGGAGGTTTGTTTTTTTTTTTACATTAACCTTAGTAAACAGACATATTTGTGGAGGAAATATTATTTATTATGTTAAGATATTAACAGAGACTCGTAATATTGTTAAAGACCTGTGTATTTTGATTTGTATCAGTATAATTTGAAATGTTAAATGGCTGTCCTATAAGAATGCAAAATATTTAACTGTGTTTACTTTTTGTAATAAAGCTTAGCTAATCAGAGCTTTTACATATGGAAAGACCCTCCCACCCTGACGAAGTTTTGACAAGCTTATTGAAATGCTAGTAGATCGAACAATATTTGAGCTAGAACTTTTAAACCTATTTAAGGAAGTATACGAATCATGAGCAACACAAGATACTGTCCTTATTTTAAAGCTTTTTCAGGAATGGTAATACATCTTTCAAAATACAATTCGTCGTTTCATACCTCCAATTATATGGATGATTTGTAAAGTTTAGTTCATTTAAAAGTAAATATGAGTTAAAATTTCCAAAAACATGCGTCTTGCTGTTGCGTTTAAATACCCTGTAACGTTTTACACAATAATAAAACAACGTAATATCAATAGCGCCTCTCTTACCTATATTCATTTTCTATCGAACTTCTCCTCTAGGTAAACAATCCATTGATATTCATAAAGAAATGTTGAACTCTGATAAGAGTGTTATGTTATTGTGTAATAAAATCAGTTAAGAACAGAAACTATAATTCAGGAGAACGTTTGGGTTATATGAAGACTGAATTGAAAGAGAGCTTCAATTTCTCAACCTACTTCAATCAGAATAACATATCTTTATGTACTTAACTTAGAAGTCTAAGTTTTGCCTGGATTTCACACGTTTGGTTTATGTATACGATTTCAATCCACTTTTTTTAAGATCATTTTTCGATAAAGTATCACCTCACAAATATACATAAATATATAATTTTACTACGTAAGGTAACTTAAACTTCGTTCTAAATAAATTTTTCAGAGCGATATATATATACATACATATATGCGCGTGTGTATGTATGTATGCATGTAAGTACTTGTAAGTGTATGTATTTGTATGTGTGTGTGTGTGTATATATATATATAGACAGGTAGCACTTGAATGTGTGTGTGTGCATATATGTATGTATTTGTATTTTTCTGTATGTATGCATTTGTATGTCTGTGTGTACACATGTATGTACTTGTATGTGTGTGTGTGTATATATATATAGACAGGTAGCACTTGAATGTGTGTGTGCATATATGTATGTATTTGTATGTTTGTGTATGTATGCATGTATGCATTTGTATGTGTATGTATGTATATATACATGTATGTACTTGTATGTTTGTGTGTATACATGTATGTACTTGTAGGCGTGTGTGGGTGTATGTATTTGTATGTTTGTGTGTATGCATGTATGTATTTGTATGTTTGTGTGTGTATGCATGTATGTATTTGTATGTT